GACATACATGGTATGCTGGTGCTGCAGGTGGCTAAGCTGCAGCACACATCGGCCTGGAATCAGACACCTGTTAGACCTGGAAAGCTCCTGAAGAAGAATCTGCTCAGATTATCCAATTACACTAAATAGAATGTACTTTATTCACTGTTATGCAGGATTAGAACACCAAAGAGTTCCTTATATCAAGTCATATTTTATTAAAACTGTCTGAAAAAAGTTACTTTATACATGCTACTAAATTTCATCACTGCAAGCTGATTATCAAAAATCAAATTTCGATAGTTATCACTTTGGGATAAACACTATGTGCAGCAAGTGAAGCTGTCACTTGGGACACCAGCATCCCACAGGGTGCTGGTTCAAGTCCTGGCTGACCCACTTTTTATTCCATTTCCTGCTAAAAGCAGGGGAAGACGGCCCAAAGCCTTAGGCCCCTGGCACCTACATGGGACACCGAGAAGTAGCTCCCGGCTTCTGACTGGCTCAGGTCTGGCCGTTACAGCCGTTTGTGGAGTAAATGAGCAGATGGAAGCGCTCTCTCTAAATGCCACCTTTCAAATACATACAAACATACATAAATTAAAAAAAAAATCCATTGTATTTTGTAGTTCCTCATATCCTTGAATAAACCCTGAAATTGCCAGAATTATTGCTGAGCATTTGGTCTGCACTCTAAAGAACACAAATCAATTCCTTACAGAAAATCTAAAGCAAATTTTATTTTAAAATTGTGTCATTTCCATCACTTACATAATCTTAAAATATGATTCATTCCAGAGTATACTACAAGACAGAAGCCATCTGAGGATATTAATGTCCTTGTGTTATTCGTCAGCCCTGGGTTACCAAGAGACATGAGGTTTGTTTTAAACAATCCTAAAAGTAGCGCCCTGGGAAGTCAGTAAATGCCCCCAAACCCTAAAATGAGGACATTCATGACTCTGACAGCAGATTTCTAGAACATTATCAGATCATGCAGAGAGCTTAAAAGTGTGAACATTTATGTCCCTACCACATGTTTGTCTTAAGTTTTATTTTCCATTCATCCAAGAAATATTTTCCTGGCATGAAGACAAACGCACAACCGTGGGTTCAGAAGATGAGCAAGTAGTAGGTATCTCCGTACTTCTGCTTGGCTTCTGTGTTCTAGAGACTTCTAAGGTTTGCATAATCATCTCCTATGCGTGCTTTCACAACTTCTCAATGGAGTGACTATTAGCTGGTATGACAACAACTAAACTCAACTTCCCTAACTCCACCTCCTCTTCCAGAAACCATCTGCCCCAATGCAGCCTTCAAGATGTTCAACAGAACCACCCTACAAACCCGCACCCCAAAACAAGATGGAATAATTTAATCACAAGAGGTGACCCCCTGCACTATTAACAGTGACTTTCTCCAAGTATCAAAATCACTCATCAGCCCTCGTTTCCATCTTCACTTTTCCAACACATCGGAAAGATTTCTTCACGCCCAGTTTCGTAATATAAATTAAAGCGCAGAGCGGCCATCTGTTTCAGGCTGTACTGTTTCAGGCTGTGTGGCAAATAAGACTGACAAGCAAAAGAATTCGGACAAGGAAAAACTTGGAGAACTGAAGTCCACTTCTCTAGCTTTTATACAACTGAATTAATTATAAGGCTAAATGCCAACTGCAGGGCCAATCAGGGTATCAGTTCTAATCAAAACAAGTTTAAAGGCCAACAAGTATAGTCTGAGAATTCTCCATAAACACCCACTCATCTACAGAGCCACAAGATGCTTTTCCCAACGTTCCAGATAATTCATCCTCTAGAATTACACCGTGACCCAATTCAATGGCCCACTGGTCCCATTAATCCATGGAAGTTATATTTTAAATCTGGATATAAATGTAGGAACAGTACCAACAGTCTCATGTGGACCAAAGCACACTGAAAACTTCATTAGAATCACAACCACATGTCCACAGCACCGTCACCCACAGCCAAACTCCACTTCCTGAAGGACTGTCCGCTCTCCTTTAACAGGAGCAAGACAAGGATGCTTGCCCTTGCCACGTCAGTTCCCCACTGAACAAGGCTCCAGCCAGGGACTCAGGTTAGAAGCAAAAGGCGGCCAGGCTGCAAAGAGCTACCAATCCTTGCAGATACACAGTGCTGTATCCAAGGCATCTTAACAAACCCTTCAGAGATCACTAAGATTGCAAGATACCAAATCAACAACAATCAATTCCATACTTAGGAATAAAGAAGTATAAAACCTGCACATTAAATGAAAGAAGCTTAAGAAATCTGGCCTAGCACTGTGGTCAGTGAGTTAAAGTGCTGCCTGCAACGCCAGCATCTGGCATCAGGCTCTCGTCCAGTTCCTGGCTGCCCCGCTTTGGATCCAACTCCTTGTTCTGGAGCTGGGGAAAGCAGCAGGACTGACCAGCAGCCTGAACCACTGACGCCACAGGAGATGTCAAGAAGCACCTCCCACAGAATGAAAAACATTCCTGCTAGCTGTATTGGATAAGCCGGCATATGTAGAAAAACAAAATGGGGAAAGGATCCGAACATTTCTCCAGAAAACAAAAGCTACCTTAATAAACGACACGCACCTGAGAGGATGCCAACAACTGACAATCAGGGAGCTGCAAATCAAAATTACAAAGAGAACATACCTGGAAGTGTTTAAAAAAACAGAACAAAGCAGTAATTCCCAGAGAAGAAAATCATGGCCAACATAAAAAGATGGACAGCAACCACTGCTTTGGAGAATACAGAGGCATCAGAAACCACAACACCACCACTTAAAACAGTGTGGCAGTTGCTGAAAATACTCAATGTTAGCACACAGCCTGCTACCCGCAGGCCTGAGGCATAACAGAAACCAAAAGTTACATTCACCTAACCTGTAACAAGTATTCACAGCAACATTACTCATAAGAACACCAAACTAGAAACATTCTCAATATCCTACATGAACATTCATCAAAATGGATAAATAAAAGGCCGCATCTCCGAGCAACGGAATATTATTGAGCCATGGAAAGGAACGAATACATGTTCCGTAAACTTATCAGATACTTAAACGCTAAGCTGAAGGAATCTATCACACACAGCCACACGGTTTCCTACCCTGAATACTGGACACACAGAGCCCAGCCGCCAGGGCTGAGACTAACTGCTAACCAGAGGCAAGGTTCTCCGAGGCGAAAACATTCTCAAATTGTGACTGCATTTTTTTTTTGTCTACAAGTAAAAGACTTACTTTATTTTGAAAGGCAGAAATACAGAGAATCTACCTCCCAGATGTGTGCCAGCTAGCACTGGGCCAGGCTGCAGACAAACGCTGGGAGCTTGCTCCGGTCCCCCCATGGTACAGGGGCCCAGTCACTGCCCTCCAAGAAGCAGTAACAGTGGAGTGCCGAGATGTGAACTAGCACCCACGCATGGGTGATGGTGCTGTAGGAAGTGCTTTATCCACGATCCACAGTGCTGTCCCTGGAAAGGGCAAACTTGACAGCATATGAATTACACCTCAAAGCTGTTTAAAAAATTGTGAGCTGGGCCTGGCGCGATAGCCTAGCAGCTAAAATCCTCGCCTTGAACGTGCCAGGATCCCATACGGTTCTAATTCCAGCAGGCCCGCTTCCCATCCAGCTCCCTGGGTTCCAGCTTTGGACTGGCTCAGTTCTGGGTGCTGTAGAGTGAACCAGCAGATGGAACATCTTGCTTTCTCTATGTCCCTTCCTCTCTCCCCCACCTTAATTTTGGCTTTCAAATAAAATAGGTCTTTTAAAAAAAAACTTTTGGTACCAAGTCAACTTCTTTTCCTTTCCTGTTTTTTTGGAAGATTTATTATTTACAGAGAGGAGAACCAGATCTTCCACTTGCTGGATCACTCCCCAAGTGGCCCCAACAGCTGGAGCTGAGCAGATCCAGAGCCGAGCTTCCTCCCGATCTCCCACCTGGGTCCACTGCTTTCCCAGGCAATGAGCAGGGAGCTGGTCTGGAAGTGCAGCAGCGGGGACACAAATCGGTGCACATATGAAGTGCCAATGCCAGTGCTGCAATGGAAGCCTAGCCTACTACACCATGGCCCTAAATAAGCCTCAAAAAAAAAAAAGCATATTCCTATGCAATGATTCTCCAAAATAAGCCCTACCATCTTGGGGGAAATAAGAGGCTGTTCCAGTCAGTTTCAAGGGCTGTTTGAACATGGCTCTGAGAGCCCCAAGGACACACATCCCCTTGGATCCATGCAGAGTGCTGCATATGCAGGGCATACACTAACTTTCTGGTCTGTTGTTTTCCAAAGATTTATTTAAAGTCAGAGTTGCACAGAGAACAAGAGACAGAAACCTACCCAGTGGTTCCTGCCAGAAGTGGGACCGGGCCAGGCCAAAGCCAGGAGCCTCATTCAGACCTCCCACATGGGTGAGGGGCATAAATACCTGGATCATCTCCCACTGCTTTTCTCCAGCCACCGGGAGTTGGCTCAAAAATGGAGCAGCAGGGACTCGAACTGGTGCCCACATGAGATGCTAGTGGGTGAGCAGCAGCTACACCTCAATGCAAGTCCTAGGAAACCGACCCATGAGCTCAGTCGGGGAAGCTCTGGCTCAGGGTCCTGTCCAAGCATTTGTAAGTACAGCCACGGATTTACCGAGCCATCCATTCCAGTTACAAATGAAGCTTCCTATTTGTGTGAAGAACCAAGACAAAAGCCTGAACAGCCATTAACCAGTGTGTAACAAACTGCTCAATACAACTGCCAGACACCAACTTTCACCTCTAGCATCGGAGTTCGTTCATATCAATTACTAAGTATAATCATTCAAAATACCTTCTTTACAAACAAAACGTAATCAACAAGAGATGCCAAAAAAATCATAGTAAAGGAAATCAGATTTGTTTGGATAGTACTAAAATGGGTTAACCAAGTGGTCTATAAATACAACTGGAAGCCGTAAGATAAGGACTGCATTCAGAAATAGTCTAGAATAAAGGGAAAATCATAAGCTCACGTGCCTGCGATCTCCACGATGTCGCCAGGGACGATGTCTTTGGCTTTGATCCGCTGCACGCTCTTCCGGTCCTGCCGGTACACCTTGCCCATCTCGGGCTCATACTCCTTCAGGGCTTCGATGGCATTTTCAGCATTCCTTTCCTGAGGGAAAAAGCAGACCAGTCAACACCGGCCTGTTACTCCAAGTATTGGCAGTGTAACATCACAGTTTTTTTTTCAACTTAAATCGCATGTAATCAAATACTTTACATTTTTAACTTTTTTTTCTTAAAAGATTCATTTAAAAGGCAGAGCCGATAGAGGTAAGGGAAAGGGAAGAAAAGACTCATCTTTCATTAACTGGCTCACTCCCCAGATGGTCACAGCAACTGGAGCATGCTGAAGCCCGGAGTCAGAACTCAGAGCACTCCAAGAAGCTGCACACCGGTCAGCCGGGACTGGGCTCGGCACTCTCGGGATGCTGACGTCACAGTGGGGCTCCCTCAGCTGTGCCAACATGGCCCCCCGTAACTCTTATCTAAAACAATGATGAGGCAGACTCCGGCTGTTCCTGGCGACTCAGGACACACAAGCGTCATACCAGAGCAAGCACGAATATGTGGCTTTTACTTGGAACCCAGACCTGCCCGCTCCTGCCTTGGCCTCCGTCACGGACACTGCCCTCAGCTACCCAAACCACAGGTCTCCACCACCAACTGCTGTTGACTACACAGGCTGCATATCACTGATGCAATGAGATGAAATCCTGAAGCTCTCATCTTAAGCCAGAGCCCATTTCCTTTAAGCGGTTTTCATTTCAAGGCAGTATTTTATAATGACGCTTAGGATTATGTATTAAAAATATTTTCAAAGACGCCAAGAAGAGTAAGGAATGAGGAAAAGCAGCTATGGAATCTGGCGTCAGAGAGCACACTCTAAAACACAGCTGTCCCTCCAGCTGCACACAAGCCCAAACCACTGAACTTGATCCTGAACTCGATCCTGTCTGAGAAAGGCAGCAGCCTAACTCCAGTCTCGGGGTGTCCCTGCGTCCGACAGAGGGTCAGTGACGGACGGAGCCCCCAGGGTCACTACTGCAACACGACATTAACAGCATCTACACACCAACGTCTGTGAGGACAAGAAGTCACACGCTTAAGACCCTGTTTTGGCACAAAGTAAATGTTATGAGTAAAGAACTAAGAAATTCAAGTATGCGTCAAAAATTGAGTATTTTTTGATAAATATGAACAATTATAGACAAACATGGCCTGACTCTCGTCACAGCACTTTCAAGCACATACATTCTCATAATATCACACATGAACACATCAAGGCTTGATATGACTGGAGCACGTTAAACACGCCTACAGAAAACTAAGCCACCCCAACTCGGAGACATGAACGTGCATCTCACACTTGACACGTGTCCCCGACAGAGCAGAGGGTTGCTCAGATTTGGAAAATTCACACTAAAATTCATTCCAATGCCTTTTAAGACACATTTTTAAAGTGAGTTTATGGGCCTGACGTGGTAATCTAGTAGCCAAAGTCCTTGCCTTGCATGAGCTGGGATCCCATATGGACACTGGTTCATATCCCAGTAACTTCATTTCCCTTCCAGCTCCCTGCTCGTGGCCTGGGAAAGCAGTCGAGGACGGCCCAAAGCCTTAGGACCCTGCACCCACGTGGGAGACCCTGAAGAGGCTGCTGGTTCCTGGCTTCAGATCAGCTCAGCTCCTGTTGTTCTACTGTGGTCATTTGGGGAGTGAACTAATGGATGTAAGATCTTCCTCTCTGTCTCTCCTTCCTATGTAAATCTGACTTTCCGATAAAAATAAATGAATCTTTTAAAAAAATAAAGTGACCTGTGTGCATCACACCAGAAACATGAGCATATATAATCATAACAATGCTATTATGATAAAAGTCCTTTAAACACCTGCTAGCATTTGGACAAAATAAATCTTGAGCATCAGTTCCATTCAACTACAGGAAATTTTTTAAAAAGATTTATTTTTATTATTTTTTTATTGGAAAGGCGGATATACAGAGAGGAGAGACAGAGAGGAAGATCTTCTGTCCGATGATTCACTCCCCAAGTGAGCGCAACGGCCAATGCTATGCCGATCCGAAGCCAGGAGCCTCTTCTGGGTCTCCACGCGGTGCAGGGTCCCAAAGCTTTGGGCCGTCCTTGACTGCTTTCCCAGGCCACAGGCAGGGAGCTGGATGGGAAGTAGAGCTGCCGGGATTAGAACCGGCGCCCATATGGGATCGCAGGCATGCAAGATGAGGACCTTAACCACTTGCGCCACAGCGCCGGGCCCAACTACAGGAAATTTAAAGCAACCTTTTTCCCCCCTCATAAGAATTTGTCCCTCAAAATTCATAATTAATGGGTTTTGTTTTCTCAATTTTCAGGTCATGTCAGGTCAGGTCAGAGTTAACCAGACTTCTTAAAGTTTAGGGGATGTGCCCAAAACACTGTACTCTATGAGTACGATAAACACGATTAATAAGGGTATATTTAAATTAGAAGCATACGCTTAAAAATATGATCTCATACCCTGAGGACAAGAGGACAATTAGAATTGTTATTTAAGGTAAACTACCAAAGGAATATTAAAATATAGAGCCAGAAAAGGAATCAACCACATTAAAACAGGATATGCCAAAAGTAGGTCATCTTGGGGAAACAAGAATATATCCAACTTATCACAAATATATTTATTACAACTTTCTGCAAACAGAGATGTCTAAGACGTTCCTCAGTTTCCAAAATCTGCTAATCTCACCTTCACCGCTGCCCTGCTCAGCTATACTCTCCTGCCCTAATTAGACTAATTTGTCATTCCTCAAACACAGCTGGATGGTTCCATTCATTCCTCCCTCTCTGGAACGATCTCTCCAGCCCTCCAGCGTCACAGACGTTACCACTTCCAAAAAGCCTTCCTTGCCGACACTGGGAGGAAACGGCACCATCCTTCAAACCAGCCAACGCCGTGACTCTCCCCACTTCCAGAGGGCAGGGACTCTCCAGCACTGCCCCCACCACTCAAGGTGCTGTTGAAACAGGACCAAGACCGGAAGGGCGTGATCCTTTTTTTTTTTCTAATTGGAAACTCAGATATACAGAGAGACAGACAGGAAGATCTTTCGTCCATTGATTCACTCCCCAAGTGGCTGCAACGGCCAGAGCTGTGCCACCTCAAGCCAGGAGCCAATTTCAGTTTTCCCATGCAGGTGCAGGGTCCCAAGGCTTTGGGCCGAACTTAGCTGCCTTCCCAGGCCATGAGCAGGGAATTGGATGGGAAGTGGAGCTGCTGGGATTAGAACCAGCACCCATATGGGATCCCAGCACATGCAAGGCGAGGACCACACTTTTCTTAAAGCAACAAGCATGCCAGCCAAGTCTGAGACCAGGAGGGCAATTCAGCACAGAACTGAAAGGAAGGTTATTCTTTTTAAAACTGAAAACAAATTTAAAAATCCTCTGAATTTGTTATAAATTTTATTTTGGAGTTCAGATCATCATTGGCCCAAGTTCTATTCCCTAATAATGTTATGTACTATCTTAAGGCCTTTGATAAACACTAAATCTGAACCTCAATGTCATGTTGGTCAGATGGGAATATCTGCCTTACAAGATCACTACAGGGCCCAGCACAGTAGCCAAGTGGCTTAAGTCCTCGACTTGCAAGTGCTGGGATCCCATATGGGTTCGTGTCCTGGCTGCTCCATTTCCTGTCCAGCTCCCTGCTTGTGGCCCAGGAATGAAGCAGAGGTTGGCCCAAAGTTTTGGGACCCCACACACATGTGGGAGACACGGAAGAAGCTCTTGGCTTTGGATCAGCTCAGCTCCATTACGGCCACTTGGGAAGTGAACCAGGGGACAGATCTTTCTCCCCATCTCTCCTTCTCTCTGTTTTTATTTTCAATAAAAATAAGTAAATCTTTTAAAAAATGAATATAAAAATGAAATACATGGGTATGTGTATTAAGTAGCTTCCACAGTAATTTAAATACTCCATGTAATAAAACCATAATTAGCTTAAAAAGCAAGGACAAATCTAATCCTGTGGTAGTTTCTTTTGACTCATTTACTCACAAGAGGATAATTTACATGAAAGTATGAATGCATTTTTTTTTTAGAAAAAGGGGAAGAGAGGAGGTAAGCCTCTCCCCGAGGCAGGCCATGTTTCCCTGAGCCCAGCACATGAAGATCCGGGTGCTCACCACAGAGATACCAGCTTAGAACTGCTACAGGCCTAGGTAATTTTATAACGTGTCTACATTAAGAATGACGGGCACACTATTTAACTGCAAAGGAATGACAACAAATACCATAAACCTAGAAGAGCAAAAATTAAAGCAAAACTGAAAATGAATGTTTAAAAAAAAGGGGAAAAAAACGGCAGCAAAACCGAGATCCCTGCCGAGCAAGGTGAGGGAGCCATTGTTTCTGTAATAAAGCAAGCTCACATTCTTTAAGAAAAGCAACCAGGAGCAACCTCTGCAGGAAAAATGACTTTGGATAACCCCTCTTGCCACCCCCCAAAAAACCCCAGAAGAGATGACGCTGAGCTGGGAGGGTTGCTGCAGGAGCTGGGAGCACGAGACGGACCGTTTCTCCCATCTTCTGATTTCCTCAACTACTTTCTCTCTCATTTCTACCATGAATGAGGAGCAACTAATCAACACAGCAAAATGTTCCTGCAAGAGATTTAAAATTCTGCCATAAAATGGACAAAAGAAAAAAATCTGCATAGACCGGGGTTCCAGAAACCAGGCCACACAGGTCAAAGGACACGGTCAGCACTGTCCACCCCTCACGGGGCTCTCTCACCTGCCACACGCCCACGATGGCATTGGCCACTAAAATCAGCAGAATGACAAAGGGCTCTACAAAGGCCGTGATCGTTTCTTCACCTTCTTCAAACCATGCCAACACCTGCAAGAGAAGCAGCACAGAGCTGTGAGTGTGCGGTTGGGCGAGTGCCACCAGGTAAGCACAGATCAACTGTGTGAAGTAACATCCCCTTTCTTACCGTCTCTGATGGGAAGCGGAATGGAATGAGGCCAACAATCAGTTTATGTCCCATTCACAGCATCCAAACTATATATCTTAATTATAATTCCCTCAAACTTAACTTATAATTGCACTTTTTAAAGAAAGATTTATTTATTTTTATTGGAAAGGCAGATATACAGAGAGGAGGAGAGACAGAAAGAAAGATCTTCCATCTGCTGGTTCACTCCCCATGAGCCCACAACGGCGGCCGGAGTTCAGCCAATCCGAAGCCAGGAGCCTGGAGCCTCTTCCGGGTCTCCCATGCAGATGCAGGGTTTCAAGGCTTTGGGCCGTCCTCAGCTGCTTTCCCAGGCCACAAGCAGGGAGCTGGACAGGAAGTAGAGCAGCCAGGACATGAACCAGCGGCCACATGGGATCCCAGCATAAGCAAGGTAAGAACTTCACCCACCAGGCTACCATGCCAGGACCATAGTTACATTTTTGAAGCTAAATAAAATATCTTTTGTGGAGGGAGATAAAATAAAGCCTGTTCATTTAAAAGGTACATATTTAGTTAAAAAAAAAAAAAAACAACCTTTAATTTCCTGGTTTTACTAAAGCAAAGGGCAGTCATCAATAGCCACGTTGATCTGGCAAGCACTCACACCAAACAATGATCATACACAGAATATTCATAATCACCGACTTTTTAGCACTCCCAGCCCTGACTCACTGTCTTGGGCTTGGCCAGCCTGGAGTCTGGAGACGCTTCCAGGACTCAGAACTGAGCGGAGGGGGGAGGACAGCGCGCCCCAGGGCCTGCACAGGCAGGGGGCGCTCCACCTCCTCAGACCTTCAGCAGCAATCCTGAAGGGGACCTCAGTCACCCTAAGGGGTCCTGAAATCAAGAATGCACATTGGGGGTCACAGTGGTGCCTGTGATAACAGCATCTCAAACAGGCGTCATCAGCGTGAGCCCCAGCTGCTCCACTTGTGATTCTGCTCCCTGTTACTGTCCCAGGAAGGCAGCAGGACGGCCCAGAGCCTTAGCACCTCTCCCTGTGTGGGGAGACCTGAAGACACTCCAGGTTCCCAGCTTGGGACCGCTCAGTTCTGGCCACTGCAACCATGTTGGGAGTTTCCAGCAGACAGAGTCTCTCTCCCTGTTCCCCGTTCTTCTCCATGTCTTTCAAGTAAAATAAACCTCAAGCGAATATTTTGGAGGTTAGGCCCATGACACTAGCAGCTACAGAGCACTTCAGAAACGACCAATAATTTTATAACCAGATACATAAGACTGACTCAAGCAGGTAACTACTTTTAGCTCATACAACCACAACATTAGGACTGAAAACTTGTAAAAGCCTAACTGCAATAGTAATAATAAAGGTGGAAAAACAGAACACAACCAATCTTAAAAAACATAGATTTATTTATTTTTATTGGAAAGCAGATTTACAGAGAAGAGAGATGAGAAAGAGGTATCTTCCATCTACTGGTTCACTCCCCAAATGGCTGTAATGGCTAGAGCTGAGACGAACCAAAGCCAGGAGCTTCTTTCAAGTCTTCCACAGGTGCAGGGTCCCAAGGCTTTGGGCCAGCCTCCACTGCTTTCCCAGGCCACAGGCAGGGAGCTGGATGGGAAGTGAAGCAGCCAGAACACGAAGCAGCACCCTTCTGGGATCCCGGAATATACAACGTGAAGATTTCAGGCACTGAGTCATCACATTGGGCCCACAACACAACAAATCTCAAAGAACATGGAAAAGCATACCCTAAATGACTACTATTTAACCAGCACCGAGAGCCCTGAGAGATGTCAACCGCCCCGGGGACTCTTGTGGACTCTGCCAGCCACATCTAATGATTCAATCTGGGAGGTGGGACTTGTTCCTGGTCTTTGTTGTTGTTGAAAATGCTTAATTTACGGTAACTTTTTTAATTTTTGAATTTTATGGTGCAAATTTCATAGGGTCTGGGATTTCCCTACCCCCTCCCCAAATTCGTACCCTATGCCTGATGTTAAGTCCGTCATAAGCAGTCATAAGTCATTAAATCAGTCCGTTATTTGATCATATCTTTACTTTAAAAGATCTAATTATTGGGTCTGCCTTGATGGTTCAACTGGCTAATCCTCTGCCTTACAAGTGCCAGGATCCCACATGGGAACCTGTTCATGTCCTAGATGCTCCATTTCCCATCCAGCTCCCTGCCTGTGGCATGGGAAGGAAGTCAAGAATGGTCGAAAGCCTTGGGACCCTACACCCATGTGGGAGACCCGGAAGCTCTTGGCTCCTGGCTCCAGACTGGCTCAGTTTTAGCCATTGCAGGTATCTGCGGTGAATCAGTGGATGTAACATCTTCTCTGTCTCTCCTTCTCTCTGTAAATGTCTTTCCAATACAAATAAATGAATCTTTAAAGTTAATCCTCGCCTTGCACGCACTGGGATCCCATATGGTCACCGGTTCTAATCCTGGCGGCCCTACTTCCCATCCAACTCCCTGCTTGTAGCCTGGAAAAGCAGCTGAGGATGGCTCAAAGCCTTGGGATCCTGCACCCTTGTGGGAGACCCAGGGGAGGCTCCTGGCTCCTGGCTTCAGATCAGCTCAGCTCCGGCCACTGTGACTGCTTGGGGAATAAATCAGTGGTCGGAAGATCTTCTCTGTCTCTCCTGCTCTGTATATCTGACTTTCCGATAAAAAATAAATAAATCTTAAAAACAAACAAACAGACGAAGTGCCGACATGAGGTTTGCAAGTCCAGGTAGTAACAGCACATGATCAAGAAATTCCCATTTGAGTCGAGGGTAAAAAGCAGCCGCACAACCTAGTCCTGAAGACGCTGCTAAGGCGCAGCAAGCCCCAAAGGAGGTGGGAAATGCTGCTGCAGCTTTCAACAGGGCAAGGCCCAACGCCAGAAAAGAAAACTTTTCTAGGAAGTTATAAATTTTGATGGACGCAGGATCACAGCTGCTCTAATACTAACCTTTTCAACTCTTGCCAAGGAGAGCATATCAGAAATAAGAAACTTAATTAGCTCTTAGGGGAGATACATTGCCCAACTTGAAAAGTAAGGAGCGCCTTTTCAAAAGGTCAGGGAGGCATTAGCAAGTGTAAGATAAGCTTCACACCTTGTTACAGCTGCTATGAATTCCTCCCTTGGCAGGCAAACCTGGGACACACTTAGAGCTGCAGTGAAGGAAGAGTGGCCTGGACAGAACCCTCAGAGGAAATGCCCAGGAAACGTGCGGCTGCCATTTACCAGCCGTGAGCGCCTGCCACATCCACACAGGAGACACGGGCATTCACACAGTGCACTTCACGCTCTGCAGACACACTAAGCAGCATGCCAACCTCAGCACAGCACCCAAGCCTGCATAAAACCGACAGCCACCTACCTCCTGAATACTTCAAACAAACAGGTCTAGTCCACGTCCACAAAAAACCTGGAGAAGTGCTGAAGTCCAGAATGAAGATCAACTACATTTAAGCTAACTGGGGAGAACCAAGCCAACAAACTGCATTTACATCATGTTGCACCTTCCTTACTTCTTTTTCCCCTAGTAAGAAAACCTCTCAGGTGATATAAGTGGGAAGATAACTCCACTAAGATGGGAAAAAGTAGAGTGGAAAGGGGAGAAAAATCAGGTGAGTCAATTACCCCCAGGTGGTGACAAACAAGCTCCACTTGGAAGCTCCACAAGGAAGGGCAGAGGTTTCTAAACCTCCTAAGAGACAAAGTGGACTGCCTCTCATTCCCTGGAAGTCTGGAACCAGCCATCGCCCTCTGCAGTACAACACTAAGCCGGCGTGCACAACTGACAACGCAAGGCAACAATGAAGCAACCAACCTGGCAATCCCAGGCAGGTGCAAGAAAAGGTTCCTCAAGTGTAACAGGAGGCACAAACGGCGCTGCTGCTTTCCTTTGAACTTTGTGCACACACCAGCCGACCTATCTCCTGCTAAAGCTTACATTATCACACAAGTTCAAAGTTCCAAATCCTTTTCAAACAAACTCCTTGAGGAGCAGGGGTTTAGCCTAGAGGTTAACATCTTGGCAACCCACATGAGTGCCTGGGTTCAATTCCAAGTTCTGGCTCCTAATTAGCTTCCTACTAATGTGGACCTGAGGATGGGGCAGTGAAGGCAAGTTAACTGGGTCCCTGCCACCAGCCCAGCGCCAGGAACTTGGGAAACCAAGAGTGTTTGGAGTGGGCACTGTGGCACAGCACGCTGAGCTGCCACCTGGGCTGCCTACATCCTTTAGTGAGCACCGGTTCCTCCACCTGCAGCTAGATTCCCACATGTGTCATGGGATACGGCTCAAGAACGCAGGTCTTTCCCTGGGGAAGACCCTCCGTGTCCCCAGGAACTGGCGGGGCTCCCTCGGCACCCTAACACCTGCTCCACTAGTGAACATACACAGACTGAAATATTTTTAAAACAAGGAAATGGAAGTTAAACATCTTGCAAAAATGATATAAAGAAGCACCAGTAAGTGGTGTAGTTATTTTCTGGGATGGTAAACAAAGTCACTTAAAAAAAAACATAAACAGACCATTTAGAATTCATTCTTCCTACGATACAAAGCTCATGCAAAACACTCTTCAATGTTTGAAAGCCGAGAATGTAATCATCTAAGAAAGTACACCACAAGCATACACAAAAAGTTCATCCTCCAGACTGTATTTTAAGAAAGGCTTTAAGGGCCCAGCATGATAGCCTAGAGGCTAAATCCTCGCCTTGTATGCCTGGGATCCCATGTGGGTGCCAGTTCATATTCCAGCTGCTCCACTTCCTGCCCAGCTCCCTGCTTAGGCCATCCTCCCTGCAAGCAGTGGATGGCTCAAAGCCTTGAGACCCTGCATCCACTTGGGAGACCGGGAGGCTCCTGGCTCCAGACTGGATCAGCCCAGCTCGCCTCTGCAGCCACTTGGAGAGTGAACCAGTGGATGGAAGATCTTTATATCTCTTTCTCTAACTGCCTTTTCAATAGAAATAAACCAGTATTTTCTAAAAGGCAGAAAAAAAGGGCTCTACACAAACTAAAGCCCATCTTATCGCATTTTAAAAATTAAAATGGGAAAAAAATTTTAATCACTACTTAATACAATCTCAAATGTTTCCTACACATATGACTTAGAGGAAAACAAAAGTAAATAGGTTCCAAGTATTTTTATAACACTCCAAACAAGCTCACATGGACATGTGTGGCATCAAAAGCACTAACACCATCTAGGAGGAATCCCGAAGCCTGCTAAGGGGCCCCGCTGGAGGAAGAGGGTGCTCGCCAAGACTACAGCGGCACCGGAAGGCTGAGGGGAACCCGGCAGAGTCCGAGCAGCACTCCAGGTCCGATCTAGGTAGCCACAGTGGGAAGGGTAGTGCAAGTTAGCAAAGGCAGCTGCATGAATAAGAGAGCCAAGCCAGAGCAACACAGCTCTCTCTAACCAATGTCACCAATCAGGGGACATTCCTGATCAGCCTATTTGAAAAGCAAAATTATTGCCGACACCATCAATTCGGCTCCCCTGCTTTATTTTTCTCAACAGCATTATCCTGCAAGCTGCGTGTTCCTCAATGCTTTATCCCCAGTGTCTGTTACTGGAACTCAGCCAGTACCTATGGGAAGCGGGGCAGGAGACACAGCAGCTGGGCAGGCATGTTGATTAACTCAGGGCACAGGTCAGGCTAGGGTGAGGGTGCTGACCAAGGAGAGGACGGGAGACAGGGAAAGGACGGCGTGCCTAGAACGCCAAAGCAAGGCATCTAGCATGTCCATATGCTTACTTCTTCCAACCCAAGTGACCTTACAGAAAAAAACTAATGAATATTGCAAATTCATTATACTTTATCCCTATGGGTCTAAAGTGTAAAACATTAATGCAACTCTCCTGTCACAGCAAAATATTAACTACGGTTAACAGTTTACAGCTTGGATTGATATTTGAAGTAAATCACTAAACTTGCGCCATACTGGATGATGTATTCTGTACACAGAACTGCCTAGTTCATTCTCCAAGGGAATGTGTATATTCAACCTTCTTTTTCTATTAAGCAAATAGGAATAAACTATGACAAAAAAAAAAAAAGGACTCTGCTCTTTCTTCTTTGAAAGCTAAAGAATGAGGAATGAAAAGGTCAAGCAGAACGCAGCCAAGTGCCAGCCGCACAGGAAGTCCATCAACAGAACTGGTTTTATATCCACTATTTCTTCATCAAACAAACCAAAGCAAATGAAGCGAATGTATAGTAAAAGTACTTCCCAAAGCTTATTCTTTTGCTATTTTGTCACCCACAACATAAAAATTTAATGTAGTTCATCTCTTGAACAAAACCAAGTAAGGTATCAAAAAGGAACTAAAATTTCCACTCCAAGGCAAGGTCTTGCCTGAAAACAAAAACCAAAGGATTTATCTTAAAACCCACTTGAATATATCAAGAAACTATTAACTCACATCAAAGATTAATTTCACGTTTGTAAAAAGTCCCTGTCAAACTAACCACTGAAAGAGACCCTCGACCCTATTCCACCCAGACATTTCCAACATCGCTTCAAGTTACCACATACCAAATAATTTAATCAGAATTAACCGGAACTTGTTTCATTTCTGGCTTGCACATACATTCCAGTTTCACCTCCGGGTTGTATGCGCTAGCTAAGGTCACTGATGATGACCTTGGGTCCCTGTGTCCAACTGCCAGAGTTAGCCATGTAGCCAGCTTCAATTTAACCCTGACACTATCCTCAAGTACAGCATGCATGGTACTGCTCCCCTGCGCTTTCTTGAAACTACAGTTAATCACACAGCACTACTCATTTATCTTAACTGGTCAAGCAGCAGCCATTCACTGGGGGGATATTTTTTTTTTTTTTGCAGAATTAATCACAGAAAGACACACCTAAGCGATCCTGGAGCAGTTCAGTGATTCAGTGGTTGCTACGGCAATCTTCTTTACTCAATGAAAACCACAAAAAAAGATTCCTAAGGACTGCATTATTAATCACGATCTACTACAGCAGAGGTTCGCCTCGTGGGGCTGCTCCCCCCGGGGAGAACGCACAGCGTTTCTCCTTCTCTCACTTGCATTCAACGCCCACCGCTTGGTTTACTTAGTTCTCAGAATTGTCCCCTTCGAGCACAGCGGCCATAGAAACTGAGGCAGGACCCCCCCCTAAGACTTGCATACCCCCACAAAATGCTTAAAAATGTAACCCTGAAACTGTGCCATTTGCACAATTTGAAAGGAGGACTTGCGCTGCACTTGCCATCATGGATTTCAGAATAAAATACTGTAATTTAAGATCAAAAGGCACCTCATGCTGTTAGGCTTAAGAACATCTGTGTCTCATTCAGTCATTTTTTAGGAAAATGGCCCAGAGTTCTACTGACTACAAAAAAATGCAATAAAAAACACTAGGCAGAAAAATGTTAGTAACCGAGGCATATTACTGTCACTCGCCTCACCTTGTTTCTGCTGTTGTTCTTAGCAACCACACTAGACGAATGAGCACACACAGGAACAGGGAAAAAACACCCAGACCACTGCTGCTTCTCTTCAAGATTTAGCACAAGCCACCCTGCCTCTTGCCTTTACCAGCCTAGGCTCACTCAAGACAGGGGTCCACTTAGACAAGGACCCCACTCTGGAGGGTCAGTGACCAAATTTGGTCAACAGTGGTGCCACCACTGCCGTCATCATTCTTGTCACCGTTGGGCACAACTGTCACCTTGCCATTAGCAGCCAGGGAGAACAACTGGAATATTCCTTTTGTAAGTTCTATTTACAGAGGACAACAGACCTTACAACAGGAGCACCAAGAGAAGAACGTGAAATGGAGAAGGCTTCCCAAGGAAGGACTTTTGGACGCCTCGACCGCCCTGGGAATGCCAGCCGGCGATCTTCCCGACACGAATCAACTCGAGCAATCTGTTCACAAGTGGCAATACCCGCTTGCTTCATCAGTTTTTTGGAAACCAAACACAGGGACTCAACTTGAAATCTCTGCAAATCATCTGCTTTTTGGTTCATCTATGGGGTATTTCCAGCTTTTTGGGGGTGGGGGGAGAAAAGAAATTTTTCTATACTTACGAAAGATATACAGGCAGCCAACAGTAAAATTCTAACTAGCAGATCTTCGAACTGTTCAATCACAAGTTCCAGCAAGGTTTTTCCTGTTAGAAATACAAACGTATTTGTCGTCAAGTGTCATCTGAGCAGGGGCTGGCACGCACGCATGCATGCACACACACACACACACGCACACCAACGACAGGATCCATTCAAATGGCTTACCTTCTTCAGCCGGTAACTCTGGATATCGCAAAAATTCACCAGGCAACGTTAACAAGGAAATTAGGGGAGAGAAAAAAAAAAAGGAACATTTTAGTGCCATCTTTCTAAAACAACCTGCTGACTGTAAGCATTGGCGTCTCGGAAAGGCAAACCTAGCTACAGAACCTCCTTTATTTATTTATTTTAAATTTTTCTTGCGTGTGGGAAGAAAGCCAGGCCGCCTGGGATCTGACCCTAGGCACCAGCTCCTTCAGGGCAGCCGGGAGGAGGAGCCGGCGTGGCCTCGGCGATGTCATCAGCCCCGCCAGATGTGCCACTCCGGGGTGGCTCCCTGCACCGCCTCCGACACCGCTGGGGACAACGAGGCGTCTCGCGGGGCTCGCCGCAGCGCCGGGAAGGTCACGGGCTCGAGGCGCGTGGGGAGGTCGCGGACCCCCGCACCCACACCCCAACCCCCTCTCCAGCCGGCGGTCCCCGCCAGCAACCCCCCGTCCCCCGCTGCCCTCTCTGCCTCCCTCGCGGAGGGACCCACCGCGGCCAGCCCGGGGCCCCTTGCCGCTGCAGCCGTCGGCGGGCGCCGAGCCGAGACCCACGAGGTGGAGCCCGGGTCAGCCATCTTCCCTGGCTCCCCGGGCCCGCGGCGCGCCGCGCCGGAGGTGGTGGGGGTCCCCCCTGCAGCCCCCGGCCACCTTACCGTTGGAGCCCCATCTCTCCTTGAGCTTCTTGACCTGCTCCAGGCTCAGCCCCGTGCTCTCGTTCACTCCGAAGTGGCCCAGCACCTCCTCCACCGTCTTTGTGTGCGCGTTCTCCATGGCTACGGGGGCCCGGCCGGCTTCGCCTCCCGTCCCCGCGGCCTCCTCCGCGCCTCCGCCTCGCACTCGGGCCGCGGGCTCGTGCCACCCCGGGCGCCCAGGCGCGGACTGGCCTCTCGCCTTCCTCCTGCTGCTGCTGCTGCTGCCCCGGCCGCTTCCGCCTCGCCGGGCGCTGAATCACCCCGCACCCCCTCCCCCAGACAACCGCCCCTCCGGCCGCCCCGGCCCTCGCCGGCGCCCGCCCCAGGCTCCGCAGGGCGGGGGCTCCCGACCCTCCCTTCCCTCGTCAGAAGGGAGGGCCTCCTCGGCCCTCAACCGCCCGCAGGGAGCGCAGGCCGCGGCCCCCGAGCCCCGTCCCCGCTGTCCTGAGGCGGCTCGCGGCCCCGACCGGGCCCGAGGAACGGGACGAGGAGACGCCCGGCAGACCACCGAGGGCGGAAGGGAGCCCCGGAGGCGAGAGCCGGCGGGGTGGGGAGCGCTCCCTCAGCTCCGCAGCCCCGGCAGCGGCGGAGGAAACTGCGGCGGAGCGTGAGGAGGTGGTGGCGTCGGGGACGGCGCGGCGGCGGCTGCTCTAATAGCATTTATCGGCCGCTGCCTCCCCTCTCGCCGCGGCCGCGGCATGTGGACGCCGCTCATTGGCCGAGAGCGCCCAGCGCGGCGCGGGCGGCGCGGCCCCGCCCCCTCCCCGCGGCGCCCTCCCTCGCGCGCGCCCCGCGCCCACGCCGCCGCGCAGGCCCCGCCCCCTCGCGCGCGCCGCCCCCAGGGACCCGGATCGAGGCCGCGCACGCCGTGCCGCGCCCCGGCCACGCGCGCTGCGGCCCGCTTCGGCCCGCGTCCTCCCCGCTCGTGGTCGGGGGCTCACGGTGGGCTCCTGGCGCTCGTGGCCCCCGAGGTTCCCCACCCTCCCCCGCCCGGCTGCTGCCTTCCGGCACTGCGTGACGCCCACCCCCTCCCCGGGCCCCCTGTGTCCTTGGCGCGTGTCCTCGATGGTCCGTGACCGCCTCAGTCTCCTTCGGAGCGCCCCTCAGGAGCCGAGGGCGGGAATTCCGCAGTCCCCTTGCCCACGCAGCCGCAGGCCCTCGTGTGTCAGCTCGGGAGCTCCGCACCGCACACCCACGCACGCCGACCCGGCCCTCCTCCGCGGCGGGTTCGCAGCCCTGGGCTGAGGGAATCCCTCTCGGACAGGAAGGGGAGGTTTGATTTTGCAGACTCCTACTCCTCCTCGCCCTGCTCCCACCTGGAGGACAAAAAAGGCGGGGAGACTTTGCACCCCATTCTTCAGGCGCAGCGCGCGTGAGGTGTGCACGGAGCTCAGGCCACGGGCCGAGTGAAGGCAATGTCGCCAACCGCGATGTGTCGCACGACTTAGCAGGGGAAGGGAGTTTGCGTGGAGACCACGCACGCACTCGCTTCCGAAGGAGTTGCCTTCTTCAAGGGGTGGGTTATAGAGGGGAGCTTTTGGTCCACTTGTATGTTGGCCACGGGAACCCACGCAGAGAAAAAAAAGCCTTAGCCTTCCCGATAGGCTCAGCCTCAGGACCAAGGATGCAAATCACGGTTGGGAAAAAAAAAAAAAAAAAAAAAAACCTCCTCAGGCATGTCACCTCATTTAATTATTTCCAAAGAGTGGAAGCTGGCTGGGGTGCAGGTTGCATTGCTACCTGGCCAAAGACCAGCAGAACCCTACAGGAAACAAACACACTGCAGTGTGGGCCATTCTCAAGAAAAGATGGAGACTGGTTAGCCTTGTCAGTGGCTGTCCGCGGCTGTGGTAGTGGGGGGCCCTTCTGCCTCAGCCCCTCTCTTTCTGGGGAAGCAAGCACTGGCGCTTCTTTTCCACCCCCAGTGGGCCGGGGCTTGGGGTTGGAACACCTCTGCTGCCATCTTGAGGGTCTGGAGGGGTTCCTGACCCCACCCTTGTCTGGAATGTTCTTCCCTCAGGCATCACATTCAGATTGCAGCTCCCAGGGCCCCTCCTCAGTGTTGTCACATCTCTGGTGCCTCCACTCACCTCCCAGCTCGTCCTCTCTTACCATTCCTTCGCTGCCCTCAATCTCTGAGACTCGGGTATTGCCCAGCAGTGTCCTGTGAGCTTGCTGCTGGTGACTCGGGCAGCGCTGGTGCTCAGGATTCAGGTGGCAAAAGCTTGGCTTTCTGGGCACAGGGTAACTGGCCCCTTGAGCCCAGATGTGGCTGTCTGGTCCAAGTCCCAGCTTCTCCACTGCTGATCTTCCCAGGGAGGCCCCTGCCAGCTCAGGCATTTGGGAAATGAACCAATGTGCCACTCTAAAATAAACATTCAAAAAACAGCAATCCCGGGTGCATCGTTTCCAGGAACAGCTGGTATATGAGCGAGTGATAGAGTGCCACCGTCCCCAGCCCGTCCCCAGCCCACCAGGAGCTGACCTGAAAGGCCCATTGAAGGGCCTCAGCACCCTCATTTCCTATTTCTGAGGGCGATGGAAGGACCTCCGGGCGACGAGCTCCCTCAGGAGAATGGCTGCCAGTCAGGCTTGAAACAGACGGAAACAAAGCTGGACAGCATGATGAGCTGAGACATGCCTGCTGTAGGTGCCCGCTGGTGCCTCTGTGTGCCCACTCTGTTCTCTGCAGGCCTCCTATTGACTGGAGGCGGGAAATTCTCCCCCACACTGCCACAGTGTAGGCCTCAGCCCATTGTTGGCTCCTGTGCCCCTGGCTCCTCAGTGCCCTTGGTGCTTCTGCAGCTTGCTTACAGGTCCCAACATAAACACAGTATTCCAAAGGTAGAATTTTTTTCCCAGGATAGAGATAAGATTGGGCTCAATTTATCTTATGCATTGAGTTACACTTCTTGCTAGTGAGATCTTTTAGATTTTATTTTTATTGCAAAGTCAGATATACAGAGAGGAGGAGAAACAGAGAGGAAGATCTTCTGTCTAATGATTCACTCCCCAAGTGACTGCAACAGCTGGTGCTGCGCCAATCTGAAGCCAGGAGCCAGGAACCTCCTCCGGGACTCCCATGCAGGTACAGGGTCCCAAGGCTTTGGGCTATCCTCGACTGCTTTCCCAGGCCACAAGCAGGGAGCTGGATGGGAAGTGGGGCTGCCGGGACTAGAACCGGCACCCATATTGGATCCTGGTGCATGCAAGGCAAGGACTTTTGCCACTAGGCGACTGCTCTGGGCCCTGGTGAGATTTTTTTTTTTTTTAATAAAAGAGATTTATTTTTACTTGAAAGGCAGATTTACAGAGAGAGAGGGAAGGAGAGAGATTCCATCAGTTAGTTCACTCCCCAAATGTTTGTAACAGCCAGAGCTGAGCCAATTTGAAGGCAGGAGCCAGGAGCTTCTTCTGGGTCTTCCATGTGAGTGCAGGGTCTCGAGGACTTGAGCCATCCCCTCTGCTAGATTGGAAGTGAAGCTTCTGGGACACAAACCATTACCCACATGGATGCTGATGCTGCAGATGCAATATTAGCCTACCATAACACCTCACAGGACACCAGATTTTTTTTTTCTTTTAAAGAATAAATTGTAGAAACTCCATTTTGCATAAAAACTAGTTTTTTGTTTGTTTAAAATTTACTTATTGAGCCTGGCTTGATGGCTCAGTGACTAAAATCCTCACCTTGCACACACTGGAATCCTATGTGGGCACCAGTTCATGCCCTGGCTGCTCTACTTCCCATCCAGCTCCCTGCCTGTGACCTGGGAAAACAGTAGAGGATAGCCCAAAGCCTTGGGACCCTGCAACTTTGTGGGAGACCCAGAAGAAGCTCCTGGTTCCTGGCTTCTGATCAGCTCAGCTCTGGCTTGTCGTGGCCACTTGAGGAGTGAACCAATGGATGAAATATTTTTGTATCTCTCCTCTCTGTAAATTTGCCTTACAATAAAAAAATCATCTTAAAGATTTACTCACTTTCCTAGACCACAAGCAGGGTGCTGGGTGGGAAGTAGAGCAGCTGGCACATGAACTGGTGCCCATATGGGATCCCGGTGCTGGAAGGGGGAGAGGATTAGTCAATTGAACCATTTTGCCCGGCTCTACAGGCATTTTCAGTTGGGGACGAAGAGAGGAACAGATTCAGAAAGACAGACGATGCAATCAAGCGACTCCAAAGGCATCAGTGAAAGAGGTCAGCCAGGGTAAGCGAAAGCTGGCTGGGAAAGCTCATCAGGCAGAATAGGCCAGCAGAAAAGAGCGATTTGCAAAACAGGCCCAGCCAACTCCCAAGGCCTGGGCTGTGGGGACTGCGGAAGGCAGCCTGCTCCATATTTGGATAGCTCTGGTCACAGAGGCAGTCTCATTCTGGGCTGCATCCACCTTCTGTTAGCTAACCTCCTCACACCGGGTCCTGTTCAGCACCCTGGGGCCACCTCAGCTGCTGTAATCCCTCCGCTGCGTGCCCCTCCCCCAGCATTTCAAGATCTCACCTCTGAGTGGGGAACAACAGCTTGGTGCTTAGGCTGTTGCTTCCCAGGGCATCAATCTGTAATCTCAGTGTCTTGGTCACCCAGTTGTAGAGAAACACAGTGTCTGGACTTGGCCTGGCTGGGCACTCATCGCTGCAGTCTGCCTTTGCTGGAGTTCAGTCCCTCGGCCCCCTCGGTGCAGTGCATCAGTGTCAATGAGCAGAGTCCTCTCCACACACACTGCAGTCGTGTGACATCTTCTTGTGTCCTTTCAACCGGGATGCTGGACCGTCAGTGAATGTTCTCAGGCTCATCTTGGTCCGTCTTGAGACACTGCCCTGGGTCCTTGGAGTCCTCATCGCTGAGTGACGTTCCAGTTACATGTTCCAGCTGTGCGCTGCACTCAGATTTGATAAGGGTGACTTTATGTCTGCATCCCCTGGAATTTCTAGACATTCGTTCCAGATTAAAAATAACCAAATCCACTGAACTTAATAGTTTGACTGGTATAAATTAACTTGACGTCAAAGTTCCAAAGCCAACGAGGTCATCATCTGTCTCCGTATTACCTCTAATGTGTATACAGTCTTGGGACAGATGGTTCTCAGTGTGACCAACAAGGTCATGTTTATTATTTTAAAACTGCAATTTATTTTATTTGCGTGAGAGATCGTCTATCTGATATTCTCAATAGACAGGGACCAAGCTGAAACCAGAAGCTAAGAATTCCATTCATGTCTCCCACATGGGTGACAGTACCTGGGTGCTGATCTGTCACCTGCTGCCTCCCAGGGTGTACATTAGAAGGAAGCCGGAATCAGAAGGAGCTGGGGCTCAAGCCACACACTCCATTGTGGAATGCAGGGTCTTAGCTGCTACCCAAGGGCCATGAATATATGCAAAATAGTGATTTCTGTGCTAGCATCTGAACTGGCTCAGGGAACTGAGAGGCCGGGGGTGCCAGGGCTGTCTCACCAAGTCCCACCCACCTTTTCTTCCCTACCCTAGGACATGTGTTTGCTGAGGAGCCACAGGCAAAGCTGCACAGTTGACTTTCCTGCATGGAAAGTCACCTCAGGTGACCATGCAGACTCTAGTCGGCTGCTCCATTACAAGCTCCACAATTTTCGACCTAAGAATTCAGCACGAGGGCTC